AAAATTGCTAGCTTGTTGTCTAAAGAGAAGCAAACAGTTGCTCTCTCAAGAAAAGCTAAACATGCTAAACTTGCACTTTGCAACGGAAGCAAAATTGCGAGCTCAAACATTGCAAAGGAAGCAAAAATTTTCTAGCTTGCAACTTGCATATTTCAAGAAGCAAGAGTTGCCTTCTTGAACATCTCTAATTTGCTAGCTTGCATGATGTAGAAGTTGCTATCTCAAAAGAAGCAAAAGTGCTATCTTGTATGTTGTAAAACTTGCATATCTAAAACGTGATAGCTTGAATGTTCTAAGCATGATGTAACACTTGCTAAATTATCTAGCTTCAAAACTGCATGATGATAAAACCTGATATTATGTTTTTCATGCAATGAGTTGAACTTATATCACAAACACAAGAATAGTTGTACTTCTCCTTTTTGTTGATGACAAAGGGGGAGAAGTATGTTGATGACATGACATGTTATGCATAATTTTATGATGATATGTTGCATGGATTTTTAAATCCAAGAGTTTCTATCACTATGGCATATTGATAGGGGGAGTTTGTTTAAACTCCCAGAGTTAAGATTAACTCCATCATCAAGTGGTTGTCATCATCAAAAAGGGGGAGATTGTTGAATCTTGTATTTTGATGATGAAACCACTTGATATATGTTTACGATTTAATCTGTGTTTTGAGTGACACAGGATGCTTCGATCAGGATGAGACAATTAAAGCAGGAAAAATCATGTTGTGCTGAAGGAACATGTCAGAAGATTGGATGTCGGGCCGGTGGATCGATCGACGTATCGACAGAAGGCTTCGGGCCGTGGACTCGGGCATCGAGCCAAGAAAAGCGGGTATTGTGCCAAGGATATCGGAGTTGCAGAGTCAACTGGCCGATTGGGCAATAAGCCGCAGGAGAGGACGATGTGTCGAATAATCGGACAAAGCGTTGAGGGACCAATGACATGCCAGACAACTTGGTTAATTACTTAGGATTAATTGTCTCGATCGAAGTTTTATTTTACATGTGCAGGATTAACTACGATGGAAGAAAGACATACAGCATGAGTTACGCCGGAGTCAAGACCATGATCATATTGGGGGTTCGAGAGTTCGACGGAAGTCCGGACGGTCGTCAGAGGTTCTGCGAGAACAAATCCAAGAAGTCCAGAAGCTTGCCAAAGAAGCTCATCGGAACTCGCCAAGTGGATCGTCGCAAGTCCAGGAGTTTACCGGAAGTCCGTCGGAG